TTAACATAAATGTATCTTATTTGTGTATCACTTGGCTGTAGATCCTCAAATCATCTCTGAATTGGTGCGGACACTGTTCTTCCTTCTGGAGGGTGACTACTTTTGTTCCCCATGATCCCTGTGTATGTTGTAAAGAAGTCACCGCTCCAAGCTCACTCCTGTGATGGACTACAATCTCATGTTTAATTTACTAATTTGTATTGAGATTGTAGCAAAGATACATTTCTGTAATAGATAGAGTACTTGAATGCATTAGAGACCCCTGATGTCTCCATAAAGATGACCTGTTGTTTGAATTGGCTATCACATAGGGGATTTCTTGATTTTCTTTAAAAAAAAAAAATAATAATCAAGAAGCTAAAAAAAAAATAGTCACAAATGAAATAAAAATCCCCCCCCCCCCACATACACACACAAACATGCGTTGGTGCGCCAATGTGCGAAAACGACGACTGCGCCCATTACATATCGCCCCGAATGTTGTAGTGAGAGCAATAGTTTTAGGGCCATTAATTACCGATAACACTAAACTGATGAGAGGTAAAAGCTTTTAAAGCGTCATCTATGGCCACTTTCGGATGTTGTTATTTTCTGCGATTTCGCGCGCGCAATTTTACAGCTTGCCATGTTTGGTGTCTATTTACACGACGTAACCCCGTCTTTTATATTTTACCAAAAAATAGGGGTGATAAATGTTTCATAACATTTTATAGGGAAACAGACAGATTTTTTAAACAAAATTTAGGGTACTTTTTTTGTTATATAGTAAAAAATAAAACCCCCAGTGGTGATTAAATACCACCAAAAGAAAGCTCTATCTGTCCCTAAAAAATGGTATAAAATGTATTTCAGTACAGCGTTGCATGACGGAATAAATGTCAAAGTACCGCAGTGCTGAATACTGAAAAGTGGCCTGGCCAGGAAGGGGTTTTAACACCCCGGTCACCAAGTGGTTAATATACCAATAGAATGAGATCCTAATAGGTTGGACTTGATGGACTAATGTCTTTATTCAACCTCAAATACTATGTAACTATGTAACCCCCCATCTCTTTTATTTACTGGCTTCCTTCCCTTATGTTTTTACAGCTTATTCATTTACATTCTGATTTTATTATGTACAACAATATTAACAACATCAGTGTTTGTTTCCTGTTTGTATTTGGCAATCAAATATTAAATTCATAGTTTGAAAAAAAGAAAAAGAAAGCAGCTCATTGATAAATCTGTGTGAAGAACTGCCTGACACAACTCACATTAACCAATTAGCTTCAGACCTGCACTGGAACTGGAAAGAAAGCTTGGTTCCGATTGGTTGCTGTAAGCTACCTGAAACAGTTCTTTCCTCAGACATTCTTCAACACAGCCTGTGGTGATATCTGAGTATAGCTGAACTTCTAAGTACAAGAAATCTGATTGTGTGTCAGAGTAAGAGCGGTCAGACGTGTTTTCTGGTATGTTGCAGTCAATGATGGGTGTAAACAAGTCATTAAAAACACACTGACACACAATGTCTCCAATAACTGTGACTGCCATTTCCAGCATAAGGGCTCATGCACACATGTATGAAGAAATGCTGCGTTCAGATCTGTACAGTGTTTTTTCTTTTTGTACGGATCTGAATGCAGCAGTATTGTATATTATGGGCCCATCCACACAGCTGTGTTTAACTGCATAAAATCAAAAGGAGAAGTATGCGTGTATGCATGTAAGTGTATGTAAATGCATGTACATGCTTACCTGCTCGGATTGAGTCGGAGGAATGGGAGAAGAATTTTACAGATGTTTACAAATCTAAATGCATGTTACAGACCATTACATGCATTTATTTTTTAACAAAGGATCTGTCTACCAGCAATATCCTCCATAAATACCAGTAGATTATTATACCCGTGTGCATGAGCCCTTCTTTGTAAATAAAGCAATAGGAAGAAAGGAAAATAAACCTCAAAAATACATGAATATGTATGTATAGGCAAAAAAATGTGGAGAGAGGTAGTGGTGAGGAAGGATTAGAACCTTTGCTGACCCGGCTAGGTAGGTTCACCCCATTGTTTTGTCCTGGTGACCATCACCACCAAGACATAAAGTAACAGGAAATCCAAAATTTAGAGCCGTCAACTAAATCCCAGTTCTACCACCTCGATAGAATGCTCAGAGTTTAGTGTAAACTGAAATACAGCCTCCACAGAAGGAAACATTCATTCATCAACCTCAGGCCATTGCACAATACACCGATGATACCACAAGACCCAGAGGGCATCATTACCACAATTTAAATGTTATCAGAGCCAAAAGGTGGCCCAAAAAGCTTCTAGATTTCTGGCTACCAAGTATATGCAGCATCGAATTTCACACTGAGCCACCTACGCCATGGCCAAGGGTGTCAGGGCCATCCAGCTGACTATGAAGTGCCGCCACTGTCACCCTTCCCCACCAATGTTAATTTTAGGGAAATGATTAAGGGGCTGCCACAATGCCTTCTGCTACCATCACTAGCATGCACTGAAATGATTTATTGCATACCAAGCCACACTGATTGCCCTGGTACAGATTGTATCTCTGAGGACATGTTTCTGGTTGTGTCAGTATGGTACGGATTGTATCTCTGAGGACATGTTTCTGGTTGTGCCAGTATGGTACGGATTGTATCTCTGAGGACGTGTTTCTGGTTGTGTCAGTATGGTACGGATTGTATCTCTGAGGACATGTTTCTGGTTGTGCCAGTATGGTACGGATTGTATCTCTGAGGACATGTTTCTGGTTGTGCCAGTATGGTACGGATTGTATCTCTGAGGACGTGTTTCTGGTTGTGTCAGTATGGTACGGATTGTATCTCTGAGGACATGTTTCTGGTTGTGTCAGTATGGTATGGATTGTGTCTCTGTGGACATGTTTCTGGTTGTGTCAGTATGGTACAGATTGTGTCTCTGTGGACATGTGAATGTAGTTATTACTTTTGTTTTCATTTTTTTCCCATGATTTTGGCAAGTCTACTTTTCACTACAGTGAACAAATGATTAATCTAATATGCATCTGATTATTTATTTATGATGGGTATGTGGAACAGAGTATATGCCCCAAGAGTCCATGTGTTGGGGGCGGCGTCTAAAGCAGTTGTTGGGGGGGCAGCAAAGGTAGCAGGCTTAGGAGAGGAAAATGTACAAGTCTGTATTTAAAGCAGAATTAGACCCACCAATTTAATGTCTCCCAAAACAGTTACTGTCCAGGTTAGCATTGTGTTTATTTCAGCTCACCACTGAACATTCAAACCCTCAAATGGTTGGTGTCATAGCTGATCACATGTGCAGCATCATGGCAACTGCAATCCGAATAAACCCTTAGATGGTACCTTCCTTGGCTGTGAAGGACAATAGGTTGTAGTTCTGAGCAGAGCTTTCACAGGCACTGTGATTTTGCAAGCATATACAATGATTTCAGTCAAATCAGTTGCATGACTTTGTGAATTCCATCATTGCTTAATACCAGTCTATGCAAGTGTTGTTAGTAAAGTTCATGGATAGTATGGAAACAATTTTGAGGTTTGCTTAAGCTTTTTCATAGGAACAATTTCTAGAGTGCGGGGTCAGTATTGTCTGACAGACATCTATCCGATTGCCTGCTCAGTTACTCTGCAGAGAAAAACACCAACAGTAATTCTGGTGCCTACAGGAGCAGTCAGCACAGCAAGCTCATATTCTGCTGCTCTGAAGGGCCAAGTAACTAAAATTTTCAATGTTAGGCCCTGTTCACACCAGGGCGGTTCGGCCGCACGTATCCGCCACCATGAACGATCCCATACAGTGCTATGGGGATGGTTCATGCGACCGCGCAATCCTAACCACGTCCTGACCGAATTGCTCCCTTACCCTTTTTTGCCGCACTGATCATACTGCTTTCAATGGAACCGCGCTGTTCAGTGCGGTTTTGGGCATTTATAATTGCGTTTCAGCACATTCCGTAGAGCGGGGATAGGCAACTCCAGACCTCCAGCTGTGCCCTAACTACAAATCCCAACATGCCTCTGGGAGGCGTGCCTGTTACTGTCAGTCTTGTAATGCCTCATGGGACTTGTAGTTCCACAACAGCTGGGGGGCCAGAGTTGCCCACCCTTGCTGTAGAGTCACTGAATAAGTATGTGAACCACAAGGGAGTTTGTGCGTAATTTATTTTCACTGTTAGTCTAAAATTTGTCTGTGCAGAAAATCCCAATTGAAGGCTTCTGTGTGTCATTTGGTTACATACCAGAGCTTCATAATAGGCAATAGATGTGTCCATATATGTCAATATACTGTAATGTGATGGTATTCAAGAATTCCTGTTTTTTTGTCAGGCCTGACCTTTGATCGCACAGATCACATACCATATAAAGGCTTCGATGTGGCTACACAGGCAACACTGTGTCTCTCAAAGCAACAAACAATGAAAAAGTCTGCCCAGCGAAAACCGATGTTTCAGCTATGGATGGCTACTTCTAAATACCCCAGCTTCTTATACATCTTTGGGACGTCCCTGCAGGGATTTCCAGCTCTGCCTCCAATCATGCAGTCTAGCTCTTCCTGCTGCACTCTTTATTGTAAAATAACTAAAACATCCAGCAGATGCATTGACACCCCTAACATTAACAGCGGGTGGGCAGAACTGGGAACTTTGGAGCAGAGACATCACTACCAGATTCCGCAAGAGATCTATAAAGTTAATGGTCTGGGAATCAGGCTGAGGACGGTGTGATGTAGCTGTCAAGTCCAGCCAATGCACACCTCTCTGCAATCACCATCGATGCCAAAGAAATCCCTGTAGATGTCTATGGCCCCATCAGTTACAGTGAGGACACCAAATATCAGATCAGAGCAGTCAGAACTGTGAGCTGAAGGCCTGCAGTTCACATAACACCAATACACCTGTCTTGGCCCAATGTCTTAAACAGAGATTAGTGGAGTTCTTCCTTAATACCATTTTGAATGTAGCCGTCATCAGTAATAATGTCATCTCTAACTTACTTGTTGCAGTCTTCAATGCACTGTAAGCTGTTTCCATCCTTGAGGTGACAGGCGGCTCTGTTTGAGTACAAGATCCCCAGCTCCTCGGCGTCCTCAGCTCCTGAAGTATTAGAGAGATGCATTGGTATCTAGAGAAGCAGAAAGGCAGCACTGCAGCACAATCTGCTGCCACTGCAGTATCCACAAGACAGACAGTAAAGCCCTCTGATAAGCACTAATGCTATGCAGCCTACGGTGCTGAAACTGGCATTTAAAAGCATTCAGCTTACAAAAACGATCTCCTGATTCCTGGCCTGCATTCATATTGTTATTAATAATTGCTGCATGGCTCGCCCTATACGATTTCACCTGTCATATTCAAAGCCTGGCATTGGAACTACTGGCATGCAGATAAAACTGACCTGTGTTCTTGATATTTTCAATCGCCTCGGAGTATTTGATCGCAGCCTCCCCGAACTGGCCATTCTTAAAAAGCTGGTTGCCTTCAGCTTTCATCCTTGCTGATGGCGAAAGGGTCTCGGTTGACAGCTTAGCTTCCTGGTTGCCAGTCCGGGATGTGACCTCACCCGCAGGGGCTTGCGTGCTGCTCTGTCCAGGCTTCGTCTTCTGCTCGGAGGGATTGTTTGCCCGTACGTTGCCGTTGTCACTCTTCACTCCATTCTGATTGTTGGCTCTGTTGTGCTTGGGGGTCTGATCGGCCTCCTCCTTCTTTTCAAAGGGTCTCTTAGGAAACTTTTTCTGAGCATTCCCCATTTCAGTCAGCTCGCCTGCAGTCTCTCCTCCCACTGTCACACCGGCTTCTACAAGGAAGTTACAGGCTTAGTATTGACATCAGCAGAGCAAACTACTGCACAGTCCACAGCAGGGGTGGAACGAATCAACAGTGAATGTTAATAGCAGTGATTTGCCTGTTTAACCCACATAGCATAGCAAAAAGACCATGAGTCACCTCTAGGAAGTGTTATATCTCTGCGGTGGAGCTTCGAAAGAGCAATAAACCTCAGAGCGTGCTCATTTTGTTCTCAGTCGTTCCCCTGTTCTATGATTACAATTAACATACCTAATACAATAGTCATTCTTCAAGCTGGCCAGTTACACGCTAAACCTGTCACAAGCAGATGGTCAGCATTGAGACTGGTTACTCTGGTTTGGTTACTCTGGATTCTTTTCTCTATTGCTGGTTACAGGAAATGGGTTTACGGCTTATAAAGAAATATCTGTCCGCTCCCCACTTTACAAATGGCTGGCAAGGATCTGTATAGAGGGGCAATCAACTATTATTTTATTGCACGGTGCAGAATTTTTCCAAAAATGTAATCATAACCGTTCCGGTTTAAATTACGTATATGTAATCCCAATCACTGAGGGATGGCTCACACCACTTGCAGGGACTGGCGTTTTTCTGCGCAGGTTCAACGCCAGTCATTGCAAGGGCACTCAGAATACAATTATTTTTTTGTTTGTGCCCTGACCACACCACAATGTGGGTGTTATGTGATATGCAGTGCGGAAAAATACAGACATGCTGCATTTTTCCACAGCGCACTGGAAGCCACAACAGCATAGCACATGGAACTGCTGTGTGGAGACCAGAATGGAGTGTACACTTTGTACACTACCAATAAAGTTAAAAAAAAAGATAAAGTAAACAGTACCTTGAGTTGTAACAACCCCAGGCACCGCTACACACCGCTGCCACCCAATGGACACCTTCCGCACGCTAAAACAAACTGCTTTCACGTGCGCCAGCCGAGAAAGCGTTAATATATTAATCTAAGTTCAAGCCTACTTCAACCTTTTTGTAAATCTGCGGCTTTCATTAAAATAATGTCTTGTGTTTCCACCATGACGGTCTTCGTTCAGGCACTTCCTGATATAGGGTTGGAGTACTATGTCCCTGTCCCCCAATTGTATGCTTGTCCCCGTCACACAGGCATCCGAATGTTTCAACACACATTACGCGGGCATGGTCCACTGCAGTCAAAGGCAGAACACCTGACAGAAGAAATGTGCAGGATTTGCTAGAGTGCATAAATGCAGATATGATGTGGCTGCAAAAAGGCTGCAGGAGATTAGCAGGGCTGGGATGCAACAGATGGAAAAAAGAAGCGAAAACAAGTATTTCATAAAAAAAAAAAAAAAAAAGTAAACTGATTTTATTATTTCCCTCAAATGTCCATCTACTTTGTGTTTTGAAAGTTGAATCTTTTCAAAACTGAAGCAGATTTGCATCTTACCTGAGCAAACTGTAGAGAGATGCTGATTGGTTGCCATTGGCAACTGGTCCAGATTCTGTTTTCTCGAGTTTTGATAAATTCCCCCCAATGTTTTTTCTCCCCGACATACATGCATGGTAATATGCTGCTGAGAATTATTAGGGCACATATTTTAACCCCTTCACGACCCATGACGGGATAATCTCCTTTGTTAATTTTGATTGGGACTGGTTTTACAGTACAAGCGATTGTGGCGGCTCAGCTGCCGCCAGATCGCTTCGACGATCCAGTAAACCCCCCGACACCCCCGGCGCGTTTCCTGGGCTCCGCTGCCCCTCCGCTGTCGGTGGGAGGCTGGGTAGAAGACCATTGGACGTCCGTTCACCGGTCTCCTCTCCATTCTATGGGACTGTGAGCGGCGCGTATTGCATCACTTCCGGTCTCATTGCTGGGCTCCTGAAGCCCAGCTATAAGCTACTGAAGCTTCAATAGCTTATTTAGGGTGTAAAGGTGATACTAGGGGTCTTTTGGAACCCCAGCATCACCTTAAAGAGTACCTGTCACCACCAATATGCTACCACATGGGGGGCTTGTAAGCCCCCCTATGTGATAGCAATTAAAGTTAAAAGAAAAAAAAACAGTTTTAAAAATATAAAATAAATTAAATGTAAAAATAATAAAAAATATTTTTTTAAAGTCCCCCGTCCTCACTGATGACCTGTAGGGGCTTTTAAATCGTCGTATATGGATTTTTTTGGGTACTGAATTTCGTCACAGTTTTACGGACGCACACAATTTGTTACCTGGGCATGTCGGGTATCTATTTACTCATTGTAACCTCATCTTTTATATTTTACAAAAAACATAGTTTTATATAGTGTTTTGAGGCACTAAATTTAACTTAAGTGCACCTTTCACCAAATTTTTGGGTTTGATAATAAGTTGCGCTAATGTCGTGCTACATAAAAAATTGCAACTGCCACCATTTTATTCGATAGGGTCTTGGCTTTCAGAAAATATATCATGTTTGGGGGTTTGAGGTCATTTGCAGGTCTAAAATGTGAATTATAGCATGTAAACAAAAAATGAAAGAAAGGCCTTTGTCCTTAAGGGGTTAAGTCTTGTTCACACTACCAGCGTTGTGGTGACGTGCTATAAAACAAGCCTCTTAATTTGTATGAGCCCTAAGTAGTCCTGAAACACTTCATACATCAAGTGCTGGCAAAAGTGAAAATATTTTTGTAATAGCCATACATCTTTGAACAGGGGCCTTAAGAAAAAGAGACTTACTTGACAGGATTAGCAGCTTCTCCTGATGAGCCTGGGCTTGCTGCAAGCCCAGTATGACTGAGTTCGCCCAAGCCTGCTCAAAACTGTGACCGCCACCCCCCTCCCATCCCAATCAGTGGCAGCAGTTGTGGTAGGGGCATTACCCACCCCTCTGTAATGTATAACTGCACGTAGGGGATCGCGCCTGCCAGGCAAGGAAGGGGTGAGATGGTCACACTTTTGAGTGGGCTTGGGGGTACTTGATGCCCCAAGATCAACACTAGTACCTTTTAAATAATAGTTTTAGCTATAGAGGCGAGAATAGATTCATCTTGGGATGGGCTGTGCACAGACATTGTTACTTTGCCCTGAATGGGCAAGGTGAGCATGGCTTTAGATTTGACGCTTTACCTAGAGTAAGAGAGGGTCAGGGGCTTCCTGAAGTCTAACAATTGCTGCTTGATCTTAAACAATGAACATTTGTTGTGTTAAGGTGCCCACACACCTTACGATAATCGTGGGAAATCCTGCGATCGTACGATTATCGTAAGATGTGTGGGAGCCGCGTGTGTGTGAGCCGACTTTTATCTTAGGAACATGTTCGAAAACCCGCCGACAATCGTATGATTTTCGGCGGGTGTGTAGCATGTTCGTAAGATAAAAGCCGGACGGGCCGGTGTGCGCAAGCGCACACTGCCCGTTCAGCATTGCGGTCATCGTAAACCCGCCCCTCAGGGGGGCGCGGCTTGCGATGATCGCAAGTACGATCTGCCTGTCCAAGATAGGCAGATCGTACGTTTTTTTAATTACCTTACAATCATCGCATGACAAAAGTCTTGCGATAGTTGTAAGGTGTGTGCCCAGCATAAGAAGGGAGGCAGAATGTCAACTCAGGCAATTGATGGGAAGCACAGCACAGGTTTTCTTAGAAGAGAAGCAGTATGTCAGGCAGGGAAATTGATAGGAAGCACAATACAGGTTTGCTTAGATAGGAGGCAGTATTGTCAGGTCAGGAAATTGATAGGAAGCACAGAAGAGGTTTGCTTAAGGTGGCCATACACTTTACAACCATCGCAAGACCTTAGTCTTGCGATGGTTGTATAGTAATAAAAAAACGTACGATCTGCCCATCTTGGACAGGCAGATCGTACTCTCGATCATCGCAAGCCCGCCCCCGAGGGGCGGGCTTCTGATGACAGCAATGCTGAACGGGCAGTGTGCGCGTGCGCACACCGGCCCGTTCGGCATTTGTCTCCCGACCACCGTTCACACCAGCCGAAAATCGTGCGATTTTCGGCTGGTTTTCTAGCGCGATCCCTAGACAAAAGACGTGCGACCGTACAGTAAAAACGGTCGTACGTCTTCCATACACTTTGCGATTATCGTACAATCGTGGGATTTCCCGCGATTATCGTGCGATAATCGCACAGTGTATGGGCACCTTTAGATAGGAGGCAGTATTTTCAGGTCAGGAAATTGAGAGGAAGCACAGCACAGGTTTGCTTAGATAGGAGGCAGTATGTCAGGCCATGTAATTGGTGGGAAGCACAGCACAGGTTTGCTTAGATAGGAGGCAGTATTGTCAGGTCCACAAATTGATAGGAAGCACAGTACAGGTTTGATTAGATAGGAGGCAGTATGTCATGTGAGGCTATTGATAGGAAGCACAGCACATTTGCATTAATCTCACTTTAATAAATTGAAATCCGGCTGCTAGAGGTAACTGCATTTTGCACAGTCACTGCATTGAAGAGAGCTCACTTGCTGTGTAACTAGAGCTACACGCATGTCATTCTGACCCCACGTGAACATGAATCTCATTAAGACCTGACACTAATCTCACTAAGTGTGTGCTTATTACATGTGCAAGATAAGTGAATGCCAGATGAACCATTCAAGGTTTACATCTTAAGAAAACAACAGAGCTAGGAGAATGGGATGTGGAGGAGACAAACCAAGAAGATTCAGAGTTTTTTAATTATTAAACCTGATTACCTGCTGGAGGCAACAAAAACACTTACCACTGCCATAGATGACCAAACTCCATTATTATTATTATTATATTCTATAGCAAAGACAAGCAGCTCATGCAAAACGTGACAGGGATAGCTGGTAGCTGCAACTACAATAGTTGGAAAGCAATATTAAACCATATTGTTGATTAACTGACATAGATATATATATATATATATACACACGCACACACACAGTATATACATACATATATTATTTTTTTTCCAAGGACTGTGGAAAACACGTTTAATGGAATAAGTCCTGTGGGTTGTACCATCACCATTCTGGAAGTGAGGAGTTGG